GATTTTAGAAGGGCTTTGGCCGTCAGACTGTTATGAATAAACAAGGTATAGTTGGGTAAATAAACGGATGAGGAGGGAATATCCGGTGTTAACATTCGAATCTATGCATTTTATTTTTCCTTTAATTTATTTTTTTCTCATCGTTTTACCCCTTTTTAAATGTAAATGAAGAAAATGTTTATTTATTTTCTCTGTAAAAAAGCTAAGATATAATTGTTTCTGAAACCTATTCGATTGTATATTAGTTATTATTCGTGATGTTTATCACTTATTTATACGCACCAGCCCAGCAGTAATACCCATTCTTAGGTATTAAGACACCGAAATATTACGATAAGACTGCTGGGTACACTTACTGGACCATCTCACCAGCTCCAGGCTCAATCTTACTTGCGCCAGCCTAGTACCATTTTCTGACTACAGCTGTTCAGCACATCGGCAGTCATCGATATCGATAGGCATAATGATACCCCCACCATCGACTGCTTGATATCAGACTGAGGTAACCTCTTTGGGAGTAGAGCTATGTACCTCTAACTTAGATTTTTTTTTCCTCCACTGTTACAAAGACATTAAACATTAATTTGTTTTTTCTTTCTAAATTATTATTTTGACTTTAATTGAACTCTCAAGTTGATTTTTTTTCTTGTAATTAATTTTTATTCTGGAAGTTTATTTTTATTTATGTTATTTTGATGGACAATTTTTTTATTTCATAGTATATTGTATTTATGTTTTATTTCATCTCGGAACTTTTGCACCATTGTTTATTTTAACTTTTGTATATATTTAGATTTCTCTTTCTTATTCAATATAATAAATAGTGTAAACATTAAAAAGGGTGATTATTTATTTATTACCTATCTTGATTTATTGAATAATTTTATTTTATAATATTTTAATGTCCATGCATTTTTCATGTTTTACAGGTCTCAGTTTTACTCATTTTTCCCCTTCTTTCCCATCGTTTAATTTTATTTGTATTTTCTCCACCTTTGAGGAAAGAATTTTCTCACCGAGGAAAGAATTGTATTTTAATTTTGAAATACCCCTGGCCCCAACATCAGGTTTCAGTCAAGTTTCAGAAACGGCAATGGTATGATGGAAGTTACAGTGAAAATAACAAGGAATTTGTCATAATGTGCTAGAAGGGAGTTAATGCGACAGGATATTAAGGTATTAGTCATGAAGGAATAAAGGCAAGGACAATCTGCGGATTGTGACAAAAAGGTGTTAATATTGATGGAGAAGGCACATTTTTAAACATACGTAATGAGATATGATAAAAAATGATGTGTATAATATTGATGTAATTCTTACTTGTCCTTTTTAAACTAATGTGAACATGGAAAAAAGTAAAATAAAGAAATTTCATCCTTCAAAAAAATAATTGAAAAGCAATAGGATAAATGAGAATGATCTATAAAAACAAAAAATAATAATAAAACGTTTAAAAAGAAAATGAAAATAAAAAGTATTCGTAACAAAGAGGTTGGGAAGAACAGTGAGACCTATTTCATTCCAGCGATTCGATGTCTTCTTTTTTGTTGACGATGATGACAGGGGATCCATCTTGTCTTCTGTATCGAACTTTTCATCCGGCAAACCACACGTACTTCAGCATACCTGACACCTTTTTCTGCCTTGCCAACCAGTATAAATGTTTATTACCTGGACTCATTTCTTCGTCCAGACAAATCCTCTTGTCACTGTCCTGACCCAGATGCCTTGTGGAAAAGTCTCTCTTGACCGAGCGTAAAAGGATGACTTCATCACGTACCGTCTGGCGGATGAACAGCATGACGAATGGTGGTGGCCTTGGGTCCTCTCTTCTGGTCCTTTTCTTTTCTACAGAATCTAGGTCTTCAACACCCAGCTTTATGCCTAGAGCTACACCAATAGAGCACACCAAGCACTCGGTTGATTCTACAGCATTGGGTGTGATACCCCGTATTTCCAGAGAGTTGGATAGCTGAGCTTATTCAACTTAGTTAAGCCTCACCTCTAGGGTACTTATTTGCGATTTTAACATTTTATTTTCATCAAGTAAATTTTCTATAACTTTTTCTTGTTTTAATACCATCTCTCCTATTTTTTTTAGTCTCTCAATGTTTTTGAAAGTGAGATTGCTTTGCTTTCCGAGCATGATTTTAAGTTGCTTTATGTCCTCGGCAATCTTTTTTACGTCAGCCAAAATAGAGGTATTGCTCTCTTCTAAAACATCCACGGCTGCTGTGCTTTGTTTGCTATGGGGTTTAGTACATGACGTACAAAACCATTTTTTTTTAGCTGCCGCAATACGTCTGTTTCAGAGACGTTAATACATTTTTGTAATATATTAATTTGCATGTAGTGCAAACTAATGTATATTTATTGTCTCTGGCAACGGTATTATTGCATTTAGGACACAAAATCAGTGGCAGCTTAGACTGAATAACATCATTCAGGAAGCTAAGAGAATGCAACAGGTATGAATGATTTTGACATTGAAAAAAAAATGGAAAAAAATTAACATCTTAATTTAACAAAAAAGCTTATAACCATTTTTTTGGGACATATCACTGTCTCTATACTATACAATACCAAAGTCCAAATGGAAAATCCTTAAAAACCTCCCCGTGGTAAAATCAAAAACCTGTACCTCCTACCCTGTTTCTTCAGATCAACTGAATTCCCACTTTGCCGACTCTGACTCACTGCCACTTTTCTTCTCATATTGCATTCCATAAACTTCCTTTGACCCTGAAAATTTCTATTTTGCAATTATTTCACCAGAAGACCTACTTTCTTCTCCCCTAAAATCCAGAACAAATGACTATAGCCTGGATCTAATTCCTGTAAAGTTAATCACACTATGTCTTCCTGTCATCTTTCCAATTTTCCTTACAAAATTCCAGTTTCCTGTCAGCTTGGAAAAAAGTTATTGTCCGCATGCCCCTCCAGTCTGGTTTCCAATCCCAGTTCTCCACTCAGTCTGCTTTGTTGGAAATTACTCAAGACCTTCATTTCTCCACAGACAAACAAAAAATCTCTATCCTGGTTCTCTTTGATTTTTCAAAAGCATTCGATTCAGTCAATCATGAAATACTCCTATCCAAAATCTTTCCATATCAAATAATACTCTAAAGTGGTTCCATTCCTTCATGTATCCCAAACAGTCATCATACCTAATAAAACGCCTTCCTGACCCCTCTTACTAACTCACGGTGTTCTTCAGTGATCTTCGCTTTCTCCAACTCTTTTCTCCATCTACATCAACGACCTTCCAGATTCCATCCATCATTCACAATATCACTTATATGCATACGATCTCCAAATCTACCTGTCCTTCCACGCTATCAAGATGCTTGAGGCGATCAGAAGGCTTTAAGAATACACTGATAGTATCAATACTTGGGCAGTGAGCAATGGCTTACAGTTGAATTATGAGAAGATCAAAGCCATTCTCATTGGTTCCAAGCATCTGATTTATTCTATTCCTTATTATCCCCTACTCTACCTTAGTGACCAGCCTATCCGTTTCCACACTTCCGTTAGAAACCTTGGGGTAATGTTTAATCAATATCTGTACTGAAATAATCATATTTCCCAAATAATCCCTAAATCCACTGCTACCTTCAAACAGTTCCTGAGACTCCATGATTCCATGCTCCTTAAAATCCAGAGATCAGGTTAAAGAGACTAATGAATAGTTTCATTAGATTCATTTTTGGAGTCCCCAGGTGCTCCCACATCTCCAGTTGGTATGCCGAGTTGGAGCGGCTCTATCCAGTCTTCTAATGACAATATTTCCTAGGTGTATTCCTTTTTCGAACCTTTTCAACCAAAAAACCCTCTTACCTCCTCGATTTGTTTACTCCTTGTTCCTCTGTCCATTTGTTCAACACAAGATCCCAGCCCTCAAACCTGTTTATTTCTTCTCATAGAACTGTTTCCTTTAAAAAAATCCTTTGTCACACGTGCTACTTTGTTTTGGAATTTCCAACCAACCTCCATATGCAAATCATCATCCTTGACCTCATTTAAACATAATTTATCTATCCATCTCAATCAATCTTCCGAATATGTGTAAAATAATGTTTACATTTTTCAGAGCTGTCAGTCGCATTCAATGTTATCCTACAGATAATTATATATCATCCACATCGTTTATGTGTACAAATATGTGAACTCGCACATCTGGCTTTATCTGTAATTTCATTTTTCTACTAGTGCCTTTTCTTTATTTTAATTGTAGATATGGATAATTTTGTAATTCAATTTATTTCTAATGCCAGAAATTGTCAATACATTGTTCATTTTTGTTATTCTAAGGGAACTTACTGTCCCAGAATAAAATTTACTTTTCTTCTTCTTCTTCTCTATAGCAGAATTGTAGACTCTAGAAAACTTCTATAGCAGAAATGAATTATTGAAGAGAACATGTAGTGTTTCTCATTTCCAGAATTTTCCTCTTCTTCTCTATAGCAGAATTGTAGACTCTAGAAAACTTCTATAGCAGAAATGAATTATTGAAGAGAACATGTAGTGTTTCTCATTTCCAGAATTTTCCTAATCTAAAACTGAGTAACCAAGTTAAATAAAACTTCTCCGCACTGTTTAAATCATAAGGTAAACAAGGTGAAGATAAAAGATATAAGTTGAACTAAAATATTGTTAGAATGGAGACTGGAAAGAAAAAACAGGAAGATTACTAGAAAAAATACTGTTTAGAGAGCATATATAAAGGTAGACTGAATAGAGGATTAGAAGAACGAGACAGATAAAACAAAAAATGACACGATCTTTACTAGTGGGTGAGATATTACCTGTGTAGTGAAAGTTACTAAATAAAATATAATAAATCTTTTTCAAAGATAAAAATCAATTGCCTTTTCACCGTTATTTCATAAATAGATAATTTAATTTATAATGAAAATTTATTAACTATATATTAGTAACTAATAGTTTTTAAGGTCTAATAATTGGAAAAATTATAATTCTATGAATATCACTCTCACCCTTCTGATGAATGCAGGACAATAGCACGTGGTTTTTCCACTTGATCTTCGTGGAGCATAAGGCAATAGTATCCATCATTGGAACAAACACCTACATACTTTAATTTAGAATCTGTGAAGTATACATTTTTTGTAATCCAATCAACTGCCAGATCTTCAGGTCTGCCAATACCTTAATACAAAAAAAATCTGAACTGTAAATATAAGTTACACATCTTGGATTAGAATATAAATTGACATATTAAATAATTAAATATATAAGTAAAACAAATTTATATTAAAGTTGAACATCATGACCATCAGCTTGTTGAACACAGACTTTGGTTAATGATATATAATTTGACAAACCAATATCAAGACTTGTAAAGGAAAAAAATATTAAAATATTATTAATCACAGTAAAGTAAGAGATAAATTAATTGGTGATGGCACTAATAACCTAAAAATAATAATAATAATTCATCAGTTGCTTAAAACATGTCACTACATTCAGAAATGCTAATTTGTACTAAAATTGTTTTTTATTTGTTTAATTTTTAAATATTTACTTATTCATTAATTTTTTTATTATGCAGATAAGTAGGTAATTTTATTTTTCTGTGAAGTAATAAATAGGGATTTCATTACAGCTTTTTCTTTTTTATCTATTTATTGAATAATAATACAATCAGCCACTGGAGGGCTATAAGTATTAGGGCTAAGAGTTCTCATTCAAACAATATATACAAATAATAGAGAAATAAATATAAATATAAAAAGTAAATAAATAATACTGATGAAGAAAGAAAATAAAAGAAAAAAAAAATAACAATAACATAAAAAGAAACTTATAAACACAATCATAGCTATATACAATATATACATTCGCCCAAGAATCTCCGAGCCAGGCTTTTTCCCTCACATGTGGAAGGCAAAGCAAGACTCCAGGAGATCCCAGCGCCACTTTTCCAGCCGCATCACAAGTATTAGAAGCCAATGGAGACTGAAAGAGGGCACTAGAGCCACAGACGCTCGGGACATGAGTGGAGAAGCTGGCCATTGCCAGGACTCCAGAAGCATATTTACAAGAGATCTCTGGGCCACTGCCGTTTTAACCTTCGTGGAGGATTGTAGGGATGAAGGGAGCTGGATAGGGATTGAGCTAGAGGATTTGGATGATGGATAAGGTTTTGGTGAAAGTTTGAGAATCTGGTTGGGATGATGTCGAGGACAAATGGGATGTTAAGGTCATGGTGTAGGGTCTTGTTTGTGACATAATATGGGGCATTGACTATTGTTCTAAGTACTTTGGACTGGAAGGATTGGATGCGTTTGATATTCGAATGTTTAGCAGTTCCCCACAGTTCAAGTCCGTAGGTCCAGATAGGTTTCAGTATGGTCTTGTAGATTAAAAGTTTATTTTCAATTGAAAGATGGGATGTCCTACTTAGTAATCTATACAGCTGGCCATATCGTCGGTTAAGTTCTTGTCTTTTAAGTCTGGTATGTGGGTTCCAAGTTAGTCTTTTGTCAAGAAGGAAGCCAAGGTAACGGACTGTGTCTGAGTAGGGAAGTGGAATTGAATTAAAAAGGATTGACGGACAGGATCTGCGTCGCAGGGTAAAAGTGATATGTTTGCATTTTGATTCATTGATTTTGATGCGCCAGTTGTTGCACCACTGCTCAATCAAAGAGAGGTGAGATTGTAGGTTTAGAGATGCTATTTGAGGATCTGAGTGGGAAGATAGAATGGCAGTATCATCAGCAAATGTAGCTAGAAATGTATCGGGATTTGAAGGGATATCGGAAGTGAAGAGGATATAGAGAACTGGGCCCAAGACACTGCCTTGTGGAACACCAGCCTCAACTGGATAGTAAGTGGAGAATGCGGTGTCACAACGGACTTGAAAGGAACGATTTGAGAGGTAGGATTTGAGGACTAGGTATAAGGATTGGGGTAAATGGGTTTTGAGCTTGAAAAGCAAGCCATCGTGCCACACCCGGTCGAAAGCTTGTGCTACGTCCAGAAAGGCACCAGTGCAATAATGCTTGTTTTCAAGTGCAGAGGATATATGGTCCACAACACGAAGGCCTTGTTGGACAGTGGAATGTCTTGAGCGGAATCCAAACTGATGAGAAGGGATGTTGTGGGATTCGATTATGGGTAGGATGCGTTTGAGAAGGATTTTCTCAAAGATTTTTGAGAGGATCGGGAGTAAGCTTATCGGTCTATAGGATGATGTGTTATTAACAGGTTTACCTGGTTTTGGAAACAGGATGATTATGGAATGTTTCCACACCAAAGGAAAGTTGGTTGTGCGAAGGATGCAGTTGTATAGATAGGTAAGGAATATGATTGCTTTTTTGGGAAGTTGTCTGAGGATTTGTGAAGTGAGGAGATCATATCCAGGGGATTTTCGGGGTTTTAATTTGTTTATAAGGAATTTGACCTCAGAGGGGTTAACAGGTTTTGGAGGTAGAGAGAGAGGAATTGGTGAAGAGAGGAATTCTTCAACTTCAGCAGTGTGGCTGGGATGGAGTTCGGGATGAGGGGTGAATGTGTAGGATAAATGTTTAGCAAACTCCTCTGCTCTATTCGCATCTGACGAAGCCCAGGAACCATCATCACGGCGAAGTGGATGGGAAATGGACTGGAATTTAAGGATTTTTTTGGTTACATTCCAGAGGGAGTTATCACTAGCGGATAATGAGGAGAGGTAGGAATTGTAGGATTGGGTTTTAAAAGTTTCCAGTTTCTTTTTTACCTGTTTAGAATAATAATTATATGATTTCCGGTCATCAGGATGCCTGGTTCTTTGCCAAAGGGTCCTAGAGCAACGTTTGCTATGGATTAGGTCCAATAGATCTTGAGGTAAAGGATTTATGTTATGGTATTTTTTGGGACGATCAGGTGAGGATGCAGTCCAAGCTGCTTGCTGGATCAGGGTAGCGAAGGAATGCACTGCATCGTCGAGGTCTTCAGGTGTTTTTAAGGAAACTCTGAGGTCAATATTATCTTCCAGTATTTGACGGAAAAGGTTCCAGTTAACTGGCCCCCTGATAAATGAAGGTGGGGATGATTTGGGAATGGGAGATGTGGAAACGGTTAGGACTAGAGGACTATGGTCTGAGGAAAGATCATCAAACCTTGAAATAGAACAGTGTAGTGATCCTAGACCTTTGTGGAGGAAAAAGTCTAGAAGGTCGGGATTGCGGTTGGGATCTGTTGGCCAGTATGTGGGTGTATTAGGTGAAAGGATGTTGCTGCGATGGGAATTAAGTGCAGATAGCAATGTTCGCCCTCGGGAATTTGTGGATCTGGCTCCCCATTGCTGGTGTTTTGCATTTAGATCTGCACCTAGGAGGAAGTGGTGTCCTAAGGAATTCAGGAAGGAAATTATTTGGGATTCGGAAATGGGTGTTTTAGGTGGGGAATATGCCGCAACTAGTGTTATTGGGTAAAGGGGTGTTTGGATTATTACGGCTGTGGATTGTAGGAAATTATGGCTTGGTAAGGGAAACAAATGATGGGAAACGGATCGATGGATAATTATGGCAGTGCCACCATGTGCTGTTCCATCAGGATGGTCGGTTCGATAAATATTGTAGCCGGGCACGTTGATTTGTCGTTTTTTGGTTAGTCGAGTTTCAGTTATTAGTGCTATGTCGATGTTTTTGTCATGTAATAAGATTGTCAGTTCGTTGATGTGGTTCCGAATACCATTCGCATTCCAGAGGAGAATGGAGAGGAATTTGGTTGAGGACATTTATGGATTTCTTGGCAGTGGAATGAGGTTGGATATAACATTGGTAAGTAGCGAAATAAGGGGGGTAATGAGAGATCTAAATTCGGAAAGGAAAGATGTCAATAGGCTTGTGAGGTCAGTGGAATTGGAAGGAGGAGGAATGAATGTGTGAGTATTTAACCTACGTTCAGGGATGGAGGGATATGGGTCTTGAGGTTGATGTGTGAATTCTTGAGGTTTAGATTCTTGTGGCAGGGCCTGAGATTGAGTGTTTACAGTGTCTCCTTTGAACATCTGAGCATAGGACACTCTTCCGTTCACTGTTCTATAGGGTTGTCTTGGTGGCCTGGATGTCCCTTCTTCTCTAGGCGTTGCGTACATTCGTGTTTTCAAATCTTTGTAAGTTTGACAACCCTTGTAGTTGGCTGGGTGTCCTTGGTGGCATAAAGCGCATATTGCAGGTGAAGTTCTAGACTTCCTACAGTCCTCTGTTTTGTGTTGCTCACCACACCTCACACATCTAGGAATGTGATGACAATACCGTTTCGTATGGCCATAAGCCTGGCAGTTATGGCATTGAACGATGTCGCGCTTGCTGTAGGGCTTTTCTACAACAACGCTTGTATAATAAAGGCGTGTGACCTTGTAGATGTTTTCGACATCGGGTGTTCGGTCAAGGTCAACGAAGAATAGTGGAAGGGGTATTTTATTTTTTATTCCAGGCTGTTCTCTATCCTCCTTAAATATGTTCACTATCTGGCGAACATGGAATCCCATACCCGTGAGCTCTTCTTTTATAGCATCTGTTGGCGTAGATGGGTGCAGTCTTCTGATAACGACCCTGAGCGCCCTCTCTTGACGCAGTTGATACGTGTGGTAATCAGCCTTGGTGTCAGATAAATATTTTATGATTTTTCTATAGGTTTCTGGAGTGTCGGGCATTAACTTAGTGTCATTGGTGCGGCTTTGGCATAAATATTTTCCTGAACCTACCAGATTATTCAATTGATTACACATCAATTGAAAATTTTTAATATTTCTAACAAATATTGGTGGGGGTTTGGGTTCTCTGGGGATGGATGCTGCTTCCATTTGTTCGTTATTAATATTTGAAAGCACTTCAAATGGATTTGAAGTGAAAAACGGCGATTCTTCACCCATAGGTTGAGTTGTCTCATAATTGTTGGGTTGTTGTGAGGAGCCAGGTTGGGGTTCCAGTTCTTCTATGGAGCTCCCTGGTGTGGCTGGTGGAGTGTTTCTTTTCGAATGCCTTGTCTTTTTTTTAATGGGAGAACTAATTGTAGTATCCAGGCTCCTGGACCTAGTGTTTTTGCCCTTACTCGACATTAGCATGTGATAATATCGCATTTCATATTTATTTTTAAAAGAAAAATTGATAAAAGTGAAGAGAGGAAAAAAAAAAAAATTTTATTGAACACGAAAATAT